CGGTCAATTCTGCTGCCCATACTTATTTGTTTTAGACAGGGTCTCACTATGTAGCTCAGGCTGGCCTTGAACTCACCATGTAGCCCAGGCTAGCCCTGAATTTATGGTCATCCTCTTGCCTTAGCTTTCTGAGTGCTGGGATTATAGGCATGCACACCACACAAAGCTTTATTAGTGTCTTCTATAAATGCATTGATCACTTTATTAAGTCCATTATCTGTTTAGTTATATCTTCTTTGATTTCACCAAGCACCTTACTTATTGATCTGTTTTTCAATCTCATCAGTCATTTTGAATGCCTCAGCTGTGACTTATTTCCTGCCCCTACATGCCCCATAGATGGGCTTTGCGGGAGTTGGAAGTTTTTGAAGAAGGTGGAGGGGGTGTGGGTGTGGGTGGATATGTGTGTATGTTGAGATTTATGGGATTTAGCTCAGTGGTTTCACCACCTGCTGCGCAAGCACAAGGACTGGAGTTCAATCCCTGTTACCTAAAAGGTAATGGGGATTTTCTTTTTTTAGCAAAAAGAAAAAAGAAAAAAAAAATTCAACAGTAATAGCATAGAGTTAATTATCTAAAGATTAACAAAGCTTAATTGTTATACTAGTAAAGACAAAGGGGGTGGGAACAGAAGAATGAAAAAAGTAAAATTTGAAAAATTAAGCAGTGGAAGATGAGAAAAAGAAAAGTGAAATAGAGGATCTCGTTAAGCAGTAAAAGGAAATTAATAGAATTAGATAAAATAACAGAAAAGAATAAAAAGAAAAACAGCAAAAAAGAAAAAGAGAATGACAAGGGAAATAAAACCCAAACTCCAAAGAACTAATAAAGAAAAAAAAATTAGCCCCAAAAATATTCTGTAATTTTGAGTCATTTCTTTCCAGGCTCTGCAATCTTGGAATCTAGCAAGCCAGTTGTCTCTGCCTACCTTTATGGCCTGTGGATTTGTGATGTGCTCCCTAATCCCCACTGGAGGCCCCTCTGTCTGGACACTCTAGGCTATGACAACTATCCTAGCCAAGAGATGTCCTTGCTCACATTGGTAGATGGGGAAAGTAATCAGGGCTGGGGATTTACCTCAGTGGTTCCACCGCCTGCCTTGAAAGTACAAGGTCCCGAGTTCGATCCCTGGTACCAAAAAAAAAGAAAAAAAGAAAGTAATCAGACCACTGATCTCTGTGCTAGATTTAGGCAGGGAGTGGGGGTTCAAGCAGATTGCTGGATTTAATACCAGCACTTTCAGATCCAGCCACCCCTGAAAGCCACGCATGCTGGGCCTGACTTTTCACCATGGAAAATGGGGCCCTGCCTTCTCAGCCTGAGCTGAAACTTCTCAAAAAATTCTGAGTCTAGTTTACACCCTCTCCACATGTGCCTTTGTGGCTGTCTCTCACTCAGTCACTGTGAAACAGTAACACTGGAAACCCTGAAGTTGTTTCATAGTTGTTCTGTTGCTCAGCCTTAAACAATTAAAACCTTCCCAAAATGGTTCCCGTCTTAGTTACTTTTCTTGTTGCTAAGACAAAATATCTGACACCCAAAGTTAAAGGAGGAAAGGTTTATTTGGCTTACAGTTTGTAGAAGTTTCGGTTCATAGTTGGCTATCTCCAAGGCAGGGTGGTATGGCAGAGCAGGATTACAGAGGAGAAATAGTTCATGGCAGGCAGAAATCCCCAAGATAGCAAGCTCTAAGTGACAAGACAATCAGGGACCTTCTCTGTATCCCTCATATCCAGGCTACCTGCTCTTAGGGCAAGTAGCATTCATACCCAAGGTAGGGCACCCTTGATCCTACCCAGAACTATGCCAAGCCAATCAGTGGGCTAATTTAGTAACCACATACCGTTAATCCCAGAATCACACGTTCTAGATCCAGCCACCCCTGAAAAGCCCCTCCTATGACCGCTTGAGGCTTTAGGGGGAACATCTAGATATATAAACTATAAGAGCTCCTGATTAACCCTCCCAATTATGGTTGGAACTACACTGGCTTTCACCTCCAGCTCTAGCCTGCTGTGTGGAAGGTGTCACTTTTGGAGTAAAGCCTCACACTGTTTCTGCAGTTTACAATATCTGTGGGCTTTTCATGGGGTTAATGATGCTGGCCAGTCCATTGTTTCTCCCTGGAGCTACCAACCCTCCAGGCTTTGGCCTCATCCATTTTCAGGTCCATCAATCAGTCAGCATCTCTGCTGCCCCATGCCAAGGGCTAACAAAATTCAGACCAGGCTCATTGTTGGCCAGCACCTGCAACCAGGATGCAGAATCCATGGGCATAGACTTGGCCAGGGATGAACATATCTCTGGGGAGTTTCATGTCTCCAGATCCCCAGGCTGCCTCATGGGTGGCCAAGGTTTTCTGTAGGCCTGGGCAGCTTACACCTTTCTTTCTACTGTTTTTTCTACTCAAATAAGAGGAGCTCCTTCTCACTTTAAACATACATATCCCATTGTTCCTGCCACTTTCTGAAGCAGTTCTAAAGTCCTCTTTCATGTGTGTCTTTACACAAGGTATAATCAAAAATACAGTGAATGCTGCCCAGTGCCATCCCACAGAAAGACAGGCTTTTAAAAACACTGCAGTATCTCCTCATCTACCTTATATTTACCAGATCTGCCATCGTGTAACTTCTTGATCTTCCCCAAAGTCAAAATGACCTTCAAAGGTAAACAACTTTGAATTGATTCAGGACATTGAAGTGGCCACAACAGTGCAGCTAAAGACATTGACAAAACAGGACCTCCAGAACTGCTTCAGAAAGTGGCAAGAACAGTGGCATAAGTGTATTGGAAACAAGAGGGAGTATTTTGAGGGGGACTGATAACAATAAATCTTTTATTGTAATACATTTTAAAAATTTTAAACATTCATTGGATTTGTTGATAATGACTGTCTTAGTTACTTTTCTTGTTGCTGAAACAAAATACCCAACAATCAAAGTTAAAGGAGGAAAGGTTTATTTGGTTTATAGTTCATGGAGATTTTAGTCCATAGTTGGCTGGCTCCAAGGCAGGGTGGCATGGCAGAGGGGCATCAAAGAAGAGAAACAGTTCATAGCAGGCAGAAGATAGCAAAAGCAAGCAAGCAAGTAGGGACCCTCTTTCTGTCCCTCATATCTTATCCAGGCTACTGCCCTTAGGGTGAGTAGCAGTCATACTCTTAATCCTATTGCCCTTAATCCTAGCATTTCACCATGAATCAATCCCAGCATCAGACACTCTAGATCCAGCCACCTCTGAAAAACCCCACTATGACCGCATGAGGCTTTGGGGGGGCATCTAGACACAGCCATAACATGACTTAGATTCAAATAACAGGTAAACTATCTTCAAATAAGCAAGTAAACGTCTGTTCTCTTATTGCAGGTAAAGAAAGCTACAGATACCTATCATTTAGGAATTGCCCTTGAACACCAGAAAGGAATGCTCAATCTCTGGCAGAAGATCCGAGGGGATTTGATTGGAATAGACATGAAAAATGGGTCCTTTTATGACACTTTTTCTACTTACACATGGTCCTGGAATGTTTGCCAAGAATTACTTTCTCCTAAGGACTTAAGGTTGTATGGTGCCTATGTGAACAGAAATTCCTACCCCCACTCTGGATTCTCTTCCTCATCAGATAACAGTGAATGCGACTCAAAGACAAAAAGAAATAGAAAACGGAAAAATTTCAAAGGGTTTCGACAATGAAATTTCTACATTTTCTAAACAGCTCATCGAAAACTTTTTCATAATTAGCAAAATAGTGGTTTCTTCCTTTTCTCCAATACATTCTTAGCAGCTGGAAATTTTGACATCTTTTGGATTCTGACCAGTAAAAGAGCTTAACTCATAAAATCGTTTCCTTTTTCCTAAATCTTTACAAGTAGATACTATGTTGTTAGTTCCAGCTGTGTTCTGCTGCCCCCGCCTGGCATAAAACTGCCAGACCTCAGCCAGAAGGAAAAAAATCATGCCTTCTGAGATCCTAAGGAATAAACATCTGAGTTTTTGGTGACTGTAAGTGAAATTCAGTTTTCAAAGTGTTCAAATGGGAAAGGGAACAAGGGAGAGGAGAGGGAGAAAGGAAGGAAGGAACAAGAAAAAAAGTGAAAATAGGGGCCAGGGGTTTAGCTCAGTGGTGCTGCCAACTACCTTGCAAGTGCAAGGGCCTGAGTTGGATCCCTGGTACAAAAAAACAAACAAAAAAAGTGAAAATAGAAGGAAGAAATGGAAACAAAGCTTTTGTACATAAGGAGGGGAGGGGCTTGAGGGGGGAATGGGATAAAATAAAATAAAATTTATTTTTAAAATTTTTAAAGAAGAAATTCAGTCTTCAGATGTTTGTGAAAGAAGCCAGAGGCAGCAGATGATGATGATAAACTTTCCATTTGAGGGAATAATATCACCATCACCACCCCAGGAACCTTGATTAAATTAAAGTATTCCTGAGGCTCCTTAGCCAAACACCTACACACATGGATTTATCTTACAAATAGCTGATTTCATCCACTGAATTTGTTGTTGTTCTTTAATGAATCTAATTAGATGTGTGTGTGTGTGTGTGTGT